AATGGGGAGACTGATTTCAGACATTCTGACTGAGAATGGTCTGATTGCTCACCTGGATGAAGCTAATCTGCTGGGGGGAGTTAGAGCCTACTTGTGGAAAGGCTCTGACTAGCAAGAACTTGGTGAAGAGGAAGATTATAGACAAGCTTCTGATAGAACCAACGCCTTTTGTGTCAGCAACTGTTAAGAGAAGGAGGATTCCAATTGATGATTTTCCACTGTTCAACTCAAGTGATCACCCATGCATCATCCTGCATTACATTCACATCTGTAAAGAAAGTGGAACACCCATTGATTCTGCCTAGCTGCAAGGAAGACACGAAGCTGCTCCAGATGTTGTTCTTCAGCAACCTTTGAAGAGGAAAGCTGTTGAAGGACCTTCTGCCAGACCTCAGAAGAAGAAGAAAAGATCAGGTACACAAGCTAAAACTGTATATGTTTATGATTCTGAAAATATATCTACATCTGCTGAACCCCAAACCCTAGGAGACATAGATGTCGATATAGATCTGACCATACCCTCTGATCCTACTGCTGAAAATCCTCAAAGAAATCAAGTTTTATCAGACTTGAGTGATTTTGACTCTGGTGATTATTCTGAAACACAAACAGAACCCTCTCACTCAGAACCCTCTCAAACACCTGCTGGAAACCTTTCTAGACCTCCTCTCAGACCATTATCACCCAGACCTACTGGATGGTATGATGCCGGCTCTTAGAGAATACCGGGAATCAATGAACCACTGACCACTCTAAAGCCTCCATTCAACCTACCTTCTGAAATTTTTTTGCCTTAAACATAACACAAACACAAAATCCTACCCCAACTGCTGACAACACCATAATCATTTCACCTGACATCACACCACCTACATCTCCACAACTTCCAACTCCTGACTCACTAGTGATTTTACCTCCTCACATTTCAGAACACCAAACTCATGAACCATCTGAACCATCACCAACACACGAACCCTATGGAACTCATGCATCATATGAACCTCATGATCAATCAACAACACCTGACCCTTTTGAACAACCTGACCAACCTGACCAACCTGACCAATCAGCAACTCATGAACAATCAGAAAATCCTAAACCAACCGACTTTTTGAAAACTGTAGTTGATTTTGAATCACTACAATTTCTGAAAAATAAAACCTTCAAAAAGGTTGTTCCTAAACCTGTTCAGCCAGATGTAAATATATTCTTTCAGAATTTTTTAACAGAAGTTCAAGCTTGGTTGGACCTGCTAAAGGCAGATTGCACCAGAAGTGTGAACCCATCAGCAACAAATCTTCTGTGGGAAACATTCAGAAGAACGTTAGATGATGAGTCACTGAAGCTGCAAGATTTATGTCACTCTCAGGTGATTGAGAACTTCTCCAAGCATCTGCATGCCTTTCAGTCAGAAGCTGCTGATATTTGGGATAAGAAGTCTTCTCTGATGATTGCTGATGCTCCAGCTGATGAAATTGACATTTCAGAAGATGAATCTGAAGAATCCTCTGAAGATTCAAATCCTATGGAAATAGTTCTGTTGAATCAACCTTCTAGAAAAGCTGCACCTGAACCAGTGCCAACTCTTATGTCAACTTTTGTTCGTTCTGACTCAACGATTGCTACTCCAAAGGCTGTATCTATTGAAGCTTCTACTTCCTCTGATCCTACTTCACTTGTAATGGATACTCTGAATGAACTTAAGAGGGATAACGAATCTATTCATGAGCACTTGGATAAGCAAGATCAGACAAACCAAGAAATCAGAACATGGATGATGAAACAAGAGGAATCTGCATCTGAGATCAAGAATCTTCTTATGGCCCTTGTTTCTAAGAAATCTTAGTGTCTTTCTATTTCTTGTTTTTGTTTGTTGTTTTGTTGAACCTCTGAATCTTTTATTATAAAATTTTTACGCTCTTCAACTATTTTTATATACTTTTTGATTATGCCAAAAAGGGGGAGAAAATGAGTATTTTGATCTAATCTCTGATTAACAGTTATGGGACTAAGTCAAACATTCTAACAAAATACAAGATTTATTTCTATGCTTTTAAGAACTTTGCAGGTATCATTTAAACTCTGGAAGTTTATTTCAAATGAACATTATCTTCAAAAGAACCTGATGAAGAAATCTCAGAAGAAAAATTCCAAAGCTCTGATGAAAATTCTCAGGAATTTTTTCTTATAGAAATATTTATTTCAGGGGGAGATTCATGTCTCTTATTCAAATTTATTTTTATATCTGAATATGTTTTTGTCATCATCAAAAAGGGGGAGATTGTGAGAACAAGATTGGTTCTGATCATATCTCAAAGTTTTGATGATAACAATAAATTATATTTTATATATTTGATACTCTGATGAATGTATTTAACTGATTCAGATAATGTTCTGACAGAAGCATCTTGAAGTGCTGAGCTGAAAATAAATGAAGAAGTTCTTTGATTAAAGAACTATTTGTTTTTAGCGCAAGTGCTGATGCTGATGCTATCTCTGATAATGTTCTGACAGAAGCATATTGATGTGCTGAGCTGAAAATAAATGGAGAAGTTCTTTTGATGAAAGAACCATTTGCTTTAACTCAAGTGCTGATGCTGACTCTGGTAAGATGATTATTTTATTACATCTTCTAACGCTTAACAAGTTTCTGTGTAAGCTATGTTTCAGAAGTTCTTTGAAAGCAAGTGTTGTTCAGAAGATATTTGAAAGCAAGTGTTGTTCAGAAGATATTTGAAAGAAAGTGCTGTTCAGAAGATATTTGAAAGCAAGTGTTGTTCAGAAGATATTGGAAAGCAAGTGTTGTTCAAAAGATATTTGAAAGCAAGTGCTGATCAGAAGTACTTAGCAAGCAAAACGTTGTTTAGAAGATATGCAAGCATGTTCTGAAATCAAGACGTGAAGCCAAGTTCTGAAAGAATGCAAAAGCTAACAAGTCTTGTCAAGCTTCATGAGACATGTTCTTACATAGTTCCGTTTGCTCATTTAATGCAAAGACGACTACATGCACTCAAGTGTCTACGCTAGTGTATTGGAAAATGAAATAGTGCAAGGAAACACGCAAACATTTAATGCTCTCCATTTAAAGGAAGCAACGATCATGTTTCTTCATGCTATATATAGAAGAACATTAATTGCAAGCCAACTACCGAACCACTGCTCAACTGAAACGCTGAAAGACTGAACAACTGAAGTTTTGAATAGAACTGAACAAATTAAAAAAGAAGAAGCTACGTGAAAAATTCTGGGCTCACAAATTCATTATTCATACACTTTGTGCTATAATATTCTTAGTGAAAAATCACAGTTGTGATATAACTTTCTTAGAAGCAAACTTTGTTTCACTATCTGTAAAGATTTATATCTTGTAATTGTTCCTTGAGAGACCAAGGTTGGTCAGATTTCTCAAGTAGACTAGGACTAGTTTAAGTCTTAGTGGTGCGAGTCACTTGTAAGTTTACTTGTGCATTGTTAGTCACAACAAATGTTGTGTAATTGTAATTGGTTGATTATAGTGGATTAAGTCCTTGTTGAGAAAGGCGAAATCACCTTGGCGGGTGGACTGAAGTAGTTTGAGTTCAAACGAACCAGGATAAAAATAACCTTGTCTTTCCATTATTGTTGTGCCTTTAAGAAAAAGAAAAAGAGAAACTTATTCAACCCCCTTCTAAGTGTTTTCTCCACCGTCAAGATCAATATTATTTCTAAATAAATTTTATGACATGACTAAATAATAATTTTTTTATTAAATATTTTAACTCTTTTTACAATTGATATCGCATGAATTTTCTTTTTGAACCTTAGTTCTTTCTTTTCATGTAGTTTTATAACCAAGTAACGGGTGTAACTTTGTTTAAGAAATAGAATCATTGTATTTTAATTATAAGAAAATGATGATGTACTTTTCAATCATCATTCAATCTCGAAACAAACATTGCAGAATGAGAGATGCAGTTCCTTCTTGCTGATTTTGTAAATCTCGTCTTTTCTTCTTCTTTTAACCAAAGGGCTTCAAACTTATAATGACCTATTCTCGAGCATTTTCTCTGGGGATTTCTTAATTCACTCGTCACAATCAACAATTGGGTGATGGAGATGGATTGGATCATTAACAATACTAAAGGCAAAAGTATGAAGGGTAGGAAAGCTAAAGTGATTGTTGCGGAAACCATCTATAGTATTTGGACTATCTGGAATATGATTATCTTTCAGAATCATACTAAAGATTTTTTTCCAATTGGGGAGTTAAAGTATAGAATAGAAATGTGTATGGGAAAAATTAATACTAGTCCTTGATTGTTGTTTGATTGTAGTTGTCTAGGCTTTTAGCCTTTATTGGATGTTGTTGTCTTGGGCCTGAATCTTTAGATCGGCTTTGTATTAACTGTTTTTAGATTAATATATTTTCATTTCTCTAAAAAAAAAAATGATGATGTACTGACCATTAAAATTAATTTTAAATTGTTAATCAATTGTGTATTCAACCACATCATACTTTATTGAATGATACTGTCCATTATATTTATTAAACCACCCGTTTGTTATCTGACTAATTAATAAAAATAAAAAACTCTTTAAAAACAACCTTTCGTGTAAAAAATTTGAAACCCTAAATTTAACGGAACTCAGTCACAAGTCCACAAAATCAAGAACCACTGGCCGTAAAGAACCTCGTCGGAAAACGCAGGCGAAGTTGTTCACCGCCACCAGAAACATCGAGAAAGTTCAGGTTTTCTTTCTTCTTCTCCATCTTCTTTTCTTCGTATTTTCTTTACATGTGGCGGCAGCGCCCGCTAAGACGCAACTCCAGCGCAACTTCGCGGCGCACACACCAGTGAATTGCGTCGCCACAACAGAGCGAATTTCCACCTCGCACCGCGCGACTTTAGACAAAGCTCTTTTCCGTTCTGGTTCTTTTTTCTTTGCCGCTGATTATCTTCTTGTTTGGTAGCAGAGGTTCGTCATACTTGGTAGGATTCACATCAGATCTATATACAGCTATGTCTGGCAATGGAGGTTGCACCGTTTACATAGGTAACCTCATTATTTTGCTATTCAATTTTGTTCTTCGATTTTCTTGTTTTTCTTAGAGAGAGTCAAATTTATTACTGGACGCAACTTTAGACAATGCAGGTTGTGTGTCTGACACCGACACTGACACACCTTTTTTCAAAGGTTTCCGTGCTTCAGAGGCATATATTGTTATTATCTTTTCTTGGACGATTCTATATATGTTAAAAGTTTATTTTTGTTAGGATAAAGAAGAATGAATTGTGATCATATGAAAATATTTTGTTGATGGCAGATAGGTTGAAGACTAAAACATATTTGTTAAATTTTATATCCACTATAATATTATTTACGGCTGTAAACAAATACAATAGGAACTTTTGTTGATGAAAGAAGTTGTTGATTTTATTAAAAGGATAGGATTGATATATTAGGGAAGGAAGAATATGACCTTATAAAACCAACAATTTGAATGACCAACAGAATCAAATGGAACATATTTGGATGGAACCAAATTGAACAGGGTAACCAATAACCTACAGAATCAAATGGAAACCCTATAAAAACCGTGAATTTAAACAACTCACCACTCCAATCCCTATTAAATCTGCTGAAGAGATTCTCCAGAAACTAATACTATACCTTGCCCCATAACCCGCTCACTAAGCAGATTTATCTAGATATCACTCGCTATTCCATCTTTGAGTTATGTGTTCATGGCACTGTCTTGATTAACATTAGAACTGTTGTATATTCGTTTAAAGAGAAATGTGAAATTTCTATTTTGTTTACTGGCAGTGGAGATCATAAAGTAAGTTGATTTTACTGACTCATTTCTTCCATCTTTGTGCTTTGTGTTCATGGTACTTTTTGTTGAAAAATATAAATTTTGCTTGCTAAGTGCCCTCATACCATATTACTCTGTAAATAAGATTCGAGTCTCTTTCAACGACGGATGATTTTGTTTTTGGAATTATTTTATATGTATCTTATAATGTGGTAGATCTCCCTTTCTCTCTTTGCTATGTTCACTTCTGTAAAAAAAATTATTGACAGAATGGTTCTATGATGAATACACTTCTCAATAATGTTATATTTCTATATGATCTGAGGTTTCCTACACCGTTGGTGGATTTTATTTCTTTTAGCTTTAGTTACGCCCAATATCCCACAGCTATATTTCTCTGGTTTTTATGTTGATTCTTATTAAGGATGGCTGATTTGAACTTTCATTACATAAACAATTCTTTTGGGGTTTTAAATGTACACCTCTATGTATACGTAACATGGGGCTTCTACTTTTGGGTTCTGATTTGGTGCTTGTATTTAATTCAGGCAATCTGGATGAGAGGGTTACAGACAGGGTCTTGTATGATATATTAATTCAAGCCGGACGAGTGGTGGACTTGCACATTCCTAAAGATAAGGAAACTGAGAAACCTAAAGGCTTTGCCTTTGCAGAGTTTGAAACTGAGGAGATTGCAGAATATGCTGTCAAACTTTTCTCAGGCCTTGTAACACTGTACAAACGGACACTAAAGTTTGCGGTGCGTTCTTGACGTCTATACTTTCCACCTTATGTATCCTATTAAGTTGGACAGTTTTTATTCTTTCTTTAAAAATGTTGAATATAAATTTAGCTCCTTCATTAGAGTTTCACAAGCTCAAGCATTGAAAATGTTCAATCTTTCTGTAAATTGTTGAAAATATTTAAATTCTATTTGATAATTTAAATTTTTTTCATGTCGTCCTGCATTGTTACTGGCGTGTATAGTCTGCTAATAAGGACAAAAACACCCCTAATAGTTCTCCAGCTACTACACCCACTTCAAATTCTTCTCAACGACCAAGGCCTTACCCTGTGCAAGTAACTAGTTCAGAGAATTTTCAGCATTCCCCTAGGCAATCAATACCGAGCCGATTCTCAGATCATGCGGTGAATTATTCTCACGGTAATATCCATATTACTTACCTACTTCAACTTCTCTTAAGTCTAAATTTATCACTTCCTTGAAACTCAGTTTTATACTTGCTGTGTTTTTTTTAATTCAACGGCAGTTCCACCTCCTCATCGTGTAACCGATCAATTTAGTGGGTATGGATCTCACTACAGTGGCAACCAGTATGATTACAGTCGGAGAGCTTTTGGGGAAGCATTGGATAGCCCTAACGGTTCTAGCGGTTCTAGGTCACGCCGCCCTGATGGAATTAGCCCAGATTAAACTTCCATTAAATATTAGTTGGAAGTGAAAGTAGAATGTGAATGGTAGATAGTCAATATCTAATATTGCTTTAAGCAAAGCATTGTTGTTGTAGGTGTACCAAAGTTCTTTGTTGTCCATGTGGGTTGGTGCTTATGAACAAACTGATTATCATTTCCTTATTGTTAAGGAATACCTCCCATGTGATTCTGTATGTTAAACTGCATAGTTACAGAAGGTTTTTGATTGCCCGTTTACGACATATCATAGTAAAATTTACAGTGTGCCGAAGCATGTTAGTTCAATAGTTAAGGATCTGAATCATACTCAAAGTGAGTAATTCAGCAGGTAAATTTTTATCTGAAAAAATTGTTTGATGAATGCACGAAGCATTTGATATATACTAGTAATTTTTTATTAGTCCATTGTAGTTTATATATTTTTAGAAAAGAAAAAATAAAATATATAAATGAGAAAGAAAATCTACTTAAGTACAGTGTGTGTCATAACTCGTAAGCATGTTCATAAGCAGATTCAGAACAGAAGTTTATCAAAATCAATTACAAAGAAAAATGAAAATGAAAACAACAAATGTTCGTTGCATAAAAGAACATTCAGTTCCCAATAGGGTTAGTCCATAAAGAACAGGTCAAGAAATACCTTTGGTCTCTTGGCCTTCAGCCATTACCAAGCAATGATCTTTCCCTTGTCTATTAACTGACATATTATTGATTCTTTACTGCTAAAAATCCACAAATTACTTTCTTTTTATATAGCTCAGGTGATTGTCAATTAGGTGACTTGAAAACACTTTCGAGTCTCTTTACTAAAGGAATTCACATAATTGAAGGGCATGAAGTCCAATAACAAACAAATAAACACAGAATCTCCAATTTTGTACACAACTCTAACTTTGACTAAAGAACTCACATTCTATGAAAAAATGGTGAGATCTCTTCTTATTTCCACATCCATATGTATTCCATCAAGCCTGGCATAATTATTATTTGTCTCATCTGATTGTCTTTAGTATGAATCATATTGTTGATCAGCTTCTACCTGAACAAATATACTTTTAACTGCGTAATTTTGTTCTAAACAATCTCTCAGATCGGCTCAGGATCAAGCTGGTCTTTGTGTATCCAAATGTTAAAACCTTCTCTCACCTAGCTGTCAAAAACATTATTCTGTAAAAAAAAAGTTATATCCAAGAAAGAACAACATTATGTCATTGACTATTCATTCCAGAAAATTTTACTTCGTAGCTCTACTTTTATATTTGTATCTCTACAAATAAATTTTTTGGACGAAAATACCCTTCATATAAATAATATAAATTTCAAAAAAATTTCATTTTTCACTTTGACGTTCACAAATTCTTCCAAAAAGCTCTAAACCAGAATACATTTCAGAACACATTTTTCAAGTCTTCTGGTTCACATTTTTCTACTCCAAAACACTTTAGGTAAATGTTCCGAAATTTTTATGCACCGAAACACTTTTTCCAACTCTTCCGAAAAATTTAGCGAATCGGAATCCATTTTAGAAGTGTTTCGCTTTGTGTTTGAATTTTTGGAACACTTTTCATAACTCTTTTGGTTCCATTAACTAACATACCAGAACACATTTTATAAGTCTTCTGAAATTTTTCAGGTTTTGCAAACCGAAACATTTTTAACATGTGTTCTGGTTAAAATTTTTTTTTTGCAGGATAGTGCACACATTAGGCCCAGACGGTAGGCTTTCTCGGAGACAGGATGATGCATTTGAATTCGGTTTACAGCCTCCTCAGGATCTTGAAGGATATCTAAGATGATCGTCTGACTTATCTCTCCTGGTTAGATACGAGCATCATTGTGCTCGACGTCTATGGTATGGGGAGGTAAGTAAATGAAATTTTTATGTTAAATAAATTTATAATGTTTATTTGTGTTTATTAATATGCATATTTTGTTATCAGGAGAGAGGTGCGAAGAAGGAGCTAAAATGTGCTGCTCACGGGCTGAAGCTGTAGAGTTGGGTTCCGCAGTAACTCTCCAAAGAGATTGAGTATTGGATGAACCAATCATGTCTAACCTCGCTACAAAGAACTAGTTTACACAAGATAGACTCGAATCTGATTTTAGCTTTTGCATAGAGATGACACTCAGAGACATCTTCATTTCACATGCCATATGGTGAAATGACGATTACTCTTGATGATGTTGCGTGTCTGCTTCACTTGCCCATAAGGGGCGTCTTCTGGAGTCCTGAGCATATTACAGAAGATGTTGTTGCATCTCTTGCTGTTGACTACTTGGGAGTGCCAAGGTCTGTTGCAATGAGTCAGGTTTGAGCATGCAGAGGACCGCATTATGAGTTGGAGTGGTTGTATGATTTATTTGTACACCATCGAGTCGCTTCTTCTTGGGCATATGCGACCAGAGCATATCTGTTGTTGGTTGGTTGCTCTATTTTTGTTAACAAGACATTTACGCTTGTCGAGGCAAAATATCTATTGTTATTTAGGGACCTGAACGGTCTTCACCGTTATAGTTGGAGAGCAGCTGTATTGGTTACCCTATACGATGCTCTTAGAGATGCATGTGTGTTTGGGTGCAAATAACTTGTTGGATATCCCACTCTTCTTCAGGTATCTATTAAATTTCTTTATTAAATAGTTTATTATACTAATGTGGTATTTTTTTAATTAAAATTATTGACATTGAAACATCGTTGGATTCACGAGTATTTTCCCGCACTTGAAAGAAAGGAGCCATGAAAGTGGATACTTTGCGGCCTATTTTGGACGTGTTGACATCAGTTGATGTCATATGGCGCCCATTTAAGGATCACAGAGAGTGGCGTGCGTTTGACGAGCTCAGTCTGTACCGAGGGGGCCTACAATGGGTAGGCACTATTGTTCTCTACTTTCCTGATAGATGCATACACCAATTTGAATATAGGCAGTATATTCCACCCTTGTCTCCTGCTGCTCATGATCTTGATGTTAATGTTGACTGGATTGGCTATGATCAAAGTGTCTTTGAGGTGGTCCGTCTGATCCATCTTCTACATCTACCTGTAACTCAACTCACATACTTAGCTTCCTCCAATAAACATGAAGACTTTCTATTGATATCAGTATACCACCAAGAGCGTACCTCCCTAACTCATAATCACAAGGTAACCCATGATTTGTTCAATGAGTACAACCACATAATTGTCTGACAGTTTCAATATAATCAACCTTCAATAACTCTTCAGCAATGCGTCTCAAAGCAACTCTAGATACATAACCATGCAAATTACCATATATATATGGACTTAAGTGTGTATACTCAACTTCATAAAAACTTTTTTGAAACGAAGCATGAATATTGCCTATTTGTAACCTCAGGTTGTTGTTCATAGCTTTCCTATATTTAACCATGTCACCAAAACTATTTTCCAACATCTACTTTAATTTCTAATGTGCAGATTCTACTCTAAAAATCAATGCCTGATAAAAATATAACATAGTAAAAAACCTAAAAAATAAACATTATAAAAATCAATGCATAATAAAAATATAACATAGTAAAATACCTAAAAAATTCACATTCTAAATATCAATGCATAATAAAAATATAACATAGTAAAATACCTAAAAAATAAATATTTTAAAAATCAACGCATAATAAAATATATTATAGTAAAAAATACTTCAAAAATAACATACCGATTAATCGTGGTGTTACCCAAATGAAGCACTCGATTAATTCATGCTCCAACAATTTATGCCTATGTGGAGTCAACCACGTGTCTTTCACATAATCAATAAATTCACTACAATCAACACGTACCTGCTCAAGTTAGTGCAATTGTTGAGTATACTCAACCTCATCACTAGCCCATACAAGATTCGTCCATAATGTGTCTATCGTCTCTTGCATTTCTTTCACAACATATCTCTTGCATCTCATCCCAACATTTTTGTTAATGTGAAATCGACATAGTAAATTAATTATCATAGAAAACACAACTTCAAATGCTTTCATCAAAGTAAGATCTCTATCCGTCAAAATACCTTGTGGACATAAATCTTTCTTCACAAACAATTCCTTCAGCTTCTCCAAGATCCAACAAAAACTATATGTCTGCTCAAACTCCATATAAGCAAATGCAACAGTAAATGTCAACTCAGTCGATGTCATGCCAACAATTTCAAACATAGGTTGTCTATATTTATTTGTCTTATAAGTGATGTTCATAACTAACACGATAGGAAAAATATTCAGCAATTTAATCGAATCTGGATGCGTCCAAAAAATATCTCTCACAACTTCTGAGTCATCTCTTTTTCTACTCCAATAGACATAGCCTGCATCCTCTATGAGCTTAAGCAGATGTTGTATCTCAGTTCTTGGCCCTCTTATTTCTTTTTCTATCACACTCTTCTGCTTATATATTTGCGTAATCCGAGTCACATTCTCAGGATCTCGCTCTTGCAAGGAAAACAATATGTGCCTAGGTGGAACATGTCTCTTTGTCAAATCAAAAACATGTTTCTTATTATCTACAGACAACCTACCAACAAACACATGACCTTCAAGCCTATCAGGTAATCCATGATTATGAACTCTGCATTTTACATCAACCTTCCATCCAGACCCATCTTTTGACAGAGTTGACCTGATTTTGAATAGATATTCATATCTCTTAGTCGCACTTTGAATTTCACTTTTATCCTTGTATTTACCCCTTTATCACACTCAAATATTATTTTGTTACTTCTTCCTCTCTTGCCCGTTTCGTTGTCTGAACGCTTGATAATAACAGTTACCATGTTTCTGATTCCAACCTCTTTAATCCAGCTTACAATCTCTTCTCGTGTAGCGAATGTTTGAGTAGTGGAGAATACATTAGTGATATCTACAAATGGCTCGTTTTTTTGGCAAATTTGGTGCGGAATTTCCATACCTGAAAAGTATTAAAAAAAATCAAAAAGTAAATTTTTTAACAATGCGTACCGAAAGACTTGCAAAAAGTGTTCCGGTTTA